GAAGGGTTTAGTGGGCATGGACCTTGAGTTTTAGAGTTGTAGTTCACCTGCATCCAGACAACACTGTGCTGCCTGGCTGCTTCCTGCCATGAGGTTTATATATCTGTGGAATGATGTCCAGGGTGGGAGAAATAAATTCGATTGAGGCAAGTGTGAATGTTTCCATTGGCCACCTTGATTAGCGTTGAATGGCCTTGCAGCTTCAAAGCCTGGCTACTTCCTGCCTGGGGATGTCTGCCATGAGGTTTATATAGCTGCGGAATTATGTCCAGTGTGGGAGAAAGAAGTCTAGTCTGTTGGAAGCCAGTATGAATGTTGCCATTGTCCACCTTGATAGCAATGAATGGCCTTTAAGCTTCAAAGTCTGGCTGCTTCCTGCCATAAGGTTTATATATCTGTGGAATGATGTCCAGGGTGGGAGGGAGAAGTCTGCTAGAGGCAAATGGAAACATGAACCTTGACTAGCATTGAATGGCCTTGCAGCTTCAAAGCCTGGCTGCTTCCTGCCTGTGGATGCCTGCCATAACGCTTATATATATGTGGAATAATGTCCAAGGTGGGAGAGAGGCAAATGTGAACCTTGACTAGCATTCAATGGCCTTGCAGCTTCAAAGTCTGGCTTCTTTCTGCCTGAGGAATCTCAATCCTTTTTTGTGGCTTCGTTTCCTCTTAAGGAATCCGGTCCCTCCATGGCCAATGCTGTACCTTCCGCGAACTGAGAACTATTTGGAAAGGCAACAGCAAATACTCCGGTGCTTTGTTCCTCCCCTAATTTGAATTCCGAACCTTGCGCAGAGGCAGGGAATTCTGGGAAGGAGGCGAGATGTACAGCCAAGCAGCTCGGTCGCTCTCCGAATGAGAGAAAAGGAAGAGGACACAGAGACTCCAAAGAGCAAACAAAGATGGTGGGCACGGCTCAAGATTTTTGGCCACTCTCCATCGCACCCTTCCCTCCGCTTCTCAGCTTTGAATGCCATTCCGAAGCCATTAATAGGGGGCACGAATACGAAAACAACAGGTTTGCGGCTCAGAACGGAGTGTTCCGAGGTGGAGTGTTTCTTTTTGTATTCAGACGGCGCACCGAAGTACTGGCTCAAAAGTAAACTTGACGCCGAAGCAACCCATTGAGGAGGAAGGAACTCAAGGCTTCTAAGGCTCCAAAGCGAAAAAAAGCAAGGAAGGTATCTATTGCGAGCTCATGCTGTGCTGACAGCGCAAGCTCTCCGCCTCGTCTTGGTCTTTGAGGAAGAACCTGACAAGAGAAAACAAGGCAGCCAAGCACACAAGAGCAGTCATTAGAAAGAAGCCCCGCAAAGGGGATGATGTTGGGATTCACGTTTCAGAGTACCACCCTTCCTTTGCCTCCAGACTCTGCTATACTTAGAGAAAGAAAAAGCAAGTGTTACTGTATACACTCGAGTATAAGCCGACACAAACTGACCAGTAGCTGCTGCATTTTCAACCTTTGGCTTATACTTGAGTCAATACCTTTTACCGTATACACTCAAAGTATAAGCCGATCCGAATTGACCAGTAGCTGCTGCATTTCCAACCTTTGGCTTATACTTGAGTCAATACGTTTCAGAGTACCACCCTTCCTTTGCCTCCACAGACTCTGCTACACTTAGAGAAGGAATAAGCAAGAGTTACTATACTCGAATATAAGCCAAGCCAAATATAAGCCAAGGCACCTAATTTTGCCATAAAAACCTGGGGAAACGTATTGACTTGGGTATAAGCCAAAGGTTGGAAATGCAGCAGCTACTGGTCAATTTCAAATTCAAAATAGATACTAATAAAATGACATTATACGGCAATTCTTTGCTGTTTCAGTCAAAACCGAAAGACAAGAGCATCCATAGGTTTTTTAATCCTTGCTTATTATTTATATGTTACTAGCCGTCCCCTGCCACGCGTTGCTGTGGCCCACATGGGGGGGTTCTGTGTGGAAGGTTTGGCCCAATTCTGTCACGGGTGGGGTTCAGAATGCTCTGTGATTGTAGGTGAACTACAAATCCCAGCAACTACAACTCCCAAATGTCAAGATTCTATTTTCCTCAAACTCCACCAGTGTCACATTTGGGCATATTGAGTATTCGTGCAGAGTTTGGTCCAGATCCATCACTGTTTGAGTCCACAGCGCTCTCTGGATGTAGGCAAACTACAACTCCAAAACCAAAGGACGCTGCCCACCAAACCCTTCCAGTATTTTCTGTTGGTCATGGGAGTTCTGTGTGCCAAGTTTGGTTCAATTCCATCCTTGGTGGAGTTCAGAATGCTCTTTGATTGTAGGTGAACGATAAATCCCAGAAACTACAACTCCCAAATGACAAAATCAATTTTTTTTTGAGTGAAGGACATACATTGGGTTATTAGGTGTCTTGTGTCCAAATCTGGTGTCAATTCGTCCAGTGGTTTTTGAGTTCTGTTAATCCCACAAATGAACATTACATTTTTATTTATATAGATGTACATTAATTGTATTGTTTTATTTGCTTATCGCTTTTAGTTTTATTGATGTGTTGTCGGGCTTAGCCTCATGTAAGCCGCTCCGAGTCCCCTTGGACCTTGGGAAGATGGTGGCGGAGTATAAATAAAGTTTTTTTTAATTGTTGTTGTTGTATTCATAGAATCATAGAATGAAAAAGTTGGAAGAGACCTCCTGGGCCATCCAGTCCACCCCCATTCTGCCAAGAAGCAGGAATATTGCATTCAAATCACCCCTGACAAATGGTCATCCAGCCTCTGCTTAAAAGCTTCCAAAGGAGCCTCCACCACACTCCGGGGCAGAGAGTTCCACTGCTGAACGGCTCTCACAGTCAGGAAGTTCTTCCTCAAGTTCAGATGGAATCTCCTCTCTTGTAGTTTGAAGCCATTGTTCCATTGCGTCCTAGTCTTCAAGGAAGCAGAAAACAAGCTTGCTCCCTCCTCCCTGTGGCTTCCTCTCACATATTTATACATAGCTATCATATTTCCTCTCAGCCTTCTCTTCTTCAGGCTAAACATGCCCAGCTCCTTAAGCCGCTCCTCATAGGGCTTGTTCTCCAGACCCTTGATCATTTTAGTCGCCCTCCTCTGGACACATTCCAGCTTGTCAATATCTCTCTTGAATTGTGGTGCCCAGAATTGGACACAATATTCCAGATGTGGTCTAACCAAAGCAGAATAGAGGGGTAGCATGACTTCCTTAGATCTAGACACTAGGCTCCTATTGATGCAGGCCAAAATCCCATTGGCTTTTTTTGCCGCCACATCACATTCCTGGCTCATGTTTAACTTGTCCACGAGGACTCCAAGATCTTTTTCACACGTACTGCTCTCGAGCCAGGCATCCCCCATTCTGTATCTTTGCATTTCATTTTTTCTGCCCAAGTGGAGTATCTTGCATTTGTCACTGTTGAACTTCATTTTGTTAGTTTTGGCCATCTCTCTAATCTGTCAAGATCGTTTTGAATTCTGCTCCTGTCCCCTGGAGTATTGGCTATCCCTCCCAATTTGGTGTCGTCTGCAAACTTGATGATCATGCCTTCTAGCCCTTCATCTAAGTCATTAATAAAGATGTTGAACAGGACCGGGCCCAGGACGGAACCCTGCGGCACTCCACTTGTCACTTCTTTCCAGGATGAAGAGGAAGCATTAGTGAGCACCCTCTGGGTTCGTCCATTTAACCAATTACAGATCCACCTCACCGTAGTTTTGCCTAGCCCACATTGGACTAGTTTCCTTGCCAGAAGGTCATGGGGGACCTTGTCGAAGGCCTTACTGAAATCCAGGTACGCTACATCCATGGCATTCCCCGCATCTACCCAGCTTGTAGCTCTATCGAAGAAAGAGATCAGATTAGTCTGGCATGACTTGTTTTTGATAAATCCATGTTGACTATTAGCGATGACTGCATTTGTTTCTAAGTGTTTGCAGACCGCTTCCTTAACAATCTTTTCCAGACTGTGAGGCTGACCGGACGGTAGTTGTTTGGATCATCCTTTTTTCCCTTCTTGAAGATTGGGACCACATTGGCCCTCCTCCAATCTGCTGGAACTTCTCTGGTTCTCCAAGAACTCTCAAAGATGGTTGCCAATGGTTCCGAAATGACTTCCGCTAGTTCCTTCAATACTCTGGGGTGTAGTTGATCTGTCGAAGGCTTTCATGGCCGGAATCACTGGGTTGTTGTAGGTTGGCCATATAGCCTGGAAAAACCTACAAAGCCCTAAACGGTTCCGGCCCAAGATACCTAGCTGACCGCATCTCGGCCTATGAACCCACCCGGACTTTGAGATCTTCCGGGGAGGCCCTGCTCTCGATCCCGCCAGCCTCTCAAGCTCGGCTGGCGGGGACGAGAGATAGGGCCTTCTCGGTGGTGGCTCCTCGGCTGTGGAACGCCCTTCCTGTAGACGTTAGACTGGCACCATCTCTCATGACATTCCGTAGAAAGCTGAAGACCTGGATGTTTGTGCAGGCGTTTGAGTAATTCAGTGCAATTTTGGTAATTTGAACATAGGAACGGAACAATGGACGACGAATTTGGATTACGCTTGGATGATGAGGCGATTGGGGATGGGATTGTGATACCTGTGTATTGATGATTGCTTATTAGTGATTAAGGGAAATGTGTAATTTAACTGTTACTGTATATTAATTACTGTTGTTTTTATTGTCTTTGCTGTTTGGAAACCGCTGTGAGTCGCCCTCGGGCTTGAGATACAGCGGTATACAAGAATAGTAAATAAATAAATAAATAAGTAAATACAACAACCCATTATTATTATTATTATTATTACTATCCATTTGGTGGGAAGCAAAGCACTCAGTGGACAGAGTCAACTGAGCCGATCTTCTCTGTCGGCTGCTTGTCTAAGAAAGCACTTTGGCCGCCCTCCGACCTCTAAAGCCGACGCTACAAAGGACAAATCCGGCCGTCCTCGTGGATCTCGGCCCCCCTCTACTGGCAGGAACGACCGACAACAAAAGGCGTCCTTTCAATGAACGGGATCCACAAGGACTATTTTAAAAGCCGCGTTTAATGGGAACCTCCCCTTGACTGAAATTTTATTTTTTTATACACACACAGAGGGGAAAAAAAACCACCCCGCAATTAAGAAAATGGTTACAGGAGACTGAATGAAGCATTGTACATACATACGCACATCATCGTCGACAAGAAAAAAAAATCATTCAATCCAGGGAGGGAGGGATGGAGGGCACCCCCAACCACAAAAATAAAAAAGAGAGGGGGGGATTTTCTAAGCGTCAACAAACCAAGACGCCCTCTCCGGAGACAACGCAGGCGTCAACAAACCGAGATGGCGTCCATCTTTAATTATTCAATGGGACGGGGAGGGTTAAAGTCTCAAAAAGAAGGGAAGTCTAAGAAGGGGAGGAAAGAAATAAAGAAATAAAGACCAACTGGTTAAGCCCAGCTCGGGGGTGGCGCGCGGGATCTCAATTCCAGGGCGTAAATACAAAATAAACCCCTTTGCTCTGCTGTGAAACAATGGAGGACGACACCGGCGGCATGAAATGAGCGCCTCGAGGTTAAAAATCTAGATCGACCAAAGCAGGGCACGTCACAGAAGCCGGAGACCCCCATTACTCTTGTTAGAGGAAGATGGGGTGACCCCCAGCTGGCAGTGGGGAGTGAGCGTTTGCGTCCCCGTTGGGAAAATAGCCTCTGCTATTGTTGTCAAAATAGGAATGGGACAAGGGGATATCACAACCCCCCCCCCCCGCCCTCCCACACGATTCCTGGTGGGAAACACAACTGGATAGGTGTCGAAACCTGTCGGTCAGTTCTGTGGCGGGGGCGGCGGGGGAGCGGGGGGCATGCCGAAGGGTGGCAAAGTGGGCACCCCGACCCCCATCATGGTCACGAAGTTAGAAGGGTCCATGGGGGGAGGGGGAGGGGGAGGAGCGTACATCATGCCCCCGGAGCCAGGCGGCGGGGGTGGGGGAGGCGGCGGGGCCCCGGGGGGCAGCGGAGGCTGGACCCCGGGAGGCAAAGGCACCATGGAGGGGCTGCCGGGCATCTGCGGGGCCCCCGTAGAAGCCGCCGCCACCGCCTGCTGCTGCTGCCATGGAGGGATGGCCCCGGTGCCAGCGCTCGTGGTGGTGGTCGTCGTATCTAGGGCAGGAAACAGAACAAGAGGTCACCCCCAGGGATTGGAGCCCAAGGGCCCCAAGTCCCAACCCAGCAAGCAAGCAGGCAAACAGGAGGGCCTTCCCAAAGAGGGTTTCATAGAGCAAGACGTCAGAAATATCCCCAATTAACTAGGTATTTTTAATTACAAAAATGTGAGTCAAGCACTGAAAGGGATATATAGAACTCAGTAAAATCTGTCATTCTATATAAGCAGATGTGCCTGTAGCAGTCAGTTTGAGGTAAACCTCAGTGAGAGAAAGGCCTTAGTCTGTGAGAAGGCCTCACAGTGTGAGGTAGGTTTCAGTCTATAAGGTCCTTCTTTATCTCCTTCCCTCCTTTCACTCCTCTCCCCCCTTCTCTCCTTCCTTCCTTCTCTACCCTTCTTTCTTTCTTTCCTTCCCTCCCCCCCTCTTTCCTTCCTTCTCTACCCTTTCTCTCCTTCCCTCTTTCTCTCACTCTCTCCTTCCTTCCTTCTCTACCCTTCTTTCCTTCTTTATCTCCTTCCCTCCTTTCACTCCTTCTCTCCCCCTTCTCTCCTTCTCTCCTTCCCTTTCTCTCCCTCTTTCTCCTTCCTTCCTTCTCTACCCTTCTTTCTCCTTCCTCCTTCCTTTCTCTTCCTCTTTCTCCTTCCTTCCTTCTCTACCCTCTTATTTTTTTTTTCCTTCCTCCTTCTTCCCTTTCTATCCTTCCTTCCTTCCCTACCCCTTTCTTCTTTCCGTCTTTCTCTCCCTCTCTCTCCTTCCTTCTCTCCCCTTCTTTCCCTCTTTCTCTCCTTCCTTCCTTCTCTACCTTTCTTTCCTTCTCTCCTTCCCTCCTTCTTTCCCTCTTTCTCTCCCTCCTTCTCTCCTTCCTTCCTTCTCTACCCTTCTTTCCTTCTTTATCTCCTTCCCTCCTTCTTTCCCTTCTATCCTTCCTTCCTTCTCTACCCTTCTTTCTTTCCTTCTCTCCTTCCCTCTCTCTCCTTCCTTCCTTCTCTACCCTTCTTTATTTCCTTCCCTCCTTCTTTCCGCCCTCTCCTTCCTTCCTTCTCTAAACTTCTTTCTTTCCTTCTCTCCTTCCCTCTTTCTCTCCCTCTCTCCTTCCTTTCTTGTCTATTCTTCTTTCCTTTATCTCCTTACCTCCTTTCACTCCTTCTCTCCCCCTTCTCTCCTTCCTTCCTTCTCTACCCTTCTTTTTTCCCTTCATTCTCTCCTTCTATCCCTCCTTCCTTCTCTACCTTTCTTTCATTCTCCCCTTCCCTCCTTCTTTCTCTTTTTCTCTCCTCCCTCCCTCCTTTCTGTGTATGTGTTTTGTGTGTGTATATGCATATATGTGTATCTATGTGTGTATTTGTGTATAAATATATGTGGTTTTGCACGTGCATTGTAGTGGGATTTTTTGTTTTGTTTTTTGGCCTTTTAAGTCCCTTTTGTTGTGTTTTTCACTGTTTTTATGAGTGTTGGTCACTCGTTGGCCTGAGAGGTGTCTTGTGTCCAAATTTGGTGTCAATTCGTCCAGTGGTTTTTGAGTTCTGTTAATCCCACAAACGAACATCACATTTTTATTTATATAGAACCGTGATGGTGAACCTATGACACGAGTGTCAGCACTGACACGCATGGCTATTTTTGATGACACGCGGCCACATGCGGTCGCATACAGAGAAATACACCTTATAAGAGCCAATCTAATTCCATCCTTAAATTTGTAAAAGGCTCTACAAATTTAATATCTGCATGTTTGAGTATTGTTCACTCCATAACTCAGCGTGGAATATACATTTTTCTTATTTAAACTATAAATATTGCAAAATTATGGGGTGTTTTTTCTCAAAGTTGACACCCCACCCAAGTTATGCTCAGGTTTTTGGCAAATCTTGACACACCAAGCTCAAAAGGTTGCCCATCACTGATATAGAAGGTGCTCTTTGGGTATTATACTTTTCTCCTTGCTTTGTGTTTGTTCTGACATCGAATAAATATTCTGGGACATTGTATAGTAACAGCGGGAGCTCACCCCACTCCTCGGACCCCAACTGCCAACCTTTCGGTCAGCAAGTTCAGCAGCTCAGCGGTTTAACCCGCTGCGCCGCCAAGATGTGCCCAGATCCAATTTTGGCCAGAAAGAGACGTGTCTCGAAGCCACCCCCTTGCCCCAGAATGCGTAGAAGGGAGTAAAAGAAGTGCTCTTACTCACTTTGCTGCCATGGCAAGGGAGTACTGCTGCTGGGGGGCGGGGGCGGAGGCTGTTGCTGCTGCTGCCATGGGGGGAGAGGACCAGAAGGAGGCGGAGGAGGCTGGCCACCGGGTGGAGGGGGCGGAGGGGGCATCATACCCATCGGAGGCGGCATCATACCTGCCAAGGACACAAAAGCCATTAAACAGAGCCCAAGAGGGTGCCAGACCTCCTCTGTGCCCCACCTCCCACCCCACACACACACTACTCACCTTTTCCTTGGAGGCGATAGACCCCAGAGCCCACTGGCGCATTGCCCAGGTACTGATCTTAAGGGAATGAGAGACCATAGCCTTAGCAACGGTTGGAAGAACTTGGCCCAAGATCCCTCTTTACCAAGCCAGCCACCAGCAAAAGAGACTGAAAGGACTGTCTCCAGAGTGCGGACAACGAAACCCCTCCACTTTAATATATTGTCAAAGTGTCAAATTACTGGGTTGCTGTACGTTTTCTGGGCTGTCTAGCCATGTTCTAGAAGCATTCTCTCCTGACGTTTCACCCACATCTACAAGAAGCGCTGCCTGAACATCAAACAAAAAGTGGGTTCTAGAAACAATATCATACGAAAGCTGACTGGCACAACCTGGGGATCACAACCAGATACAGTGAAGACATCTGCCCTTGCGCTATGCTACTCTGTTGCTGAGTATGCATACCCAGTGTGGAACACATCTCACCACACTAAAACAGTGGATGTGGCTCTTAATGAGACATGCCGCATTATCACAGGGTGTCTGCGCCCTACACCACTGGAGAAATTACATTGCTTAGCCGGTATTGCACCACCTGACATCCGCCGGGAAGTAGCAACCAATAGTGAAAGGACCAAGGCAGTGGCATCTCCAGCCCATCCCCTGTTTGGGTAACAGCCAGCACGCCAACGACATAAATCAAGAAATAGTTTTCTTAGATCTACAGAGACACTGGCTGGAACACCTCAGCAAGCGAGAGTCCAAAAGTGGCAGGCTCAAACCCAGCACCTCAATCCGTGGGTGATACAAGATGAGAGACTCCCCCCTGGGCACACAGAAGACTGGGCGACTTGGAAGGCGCTGAACAGACTGCGCTCTGGCACCATGAGATGCAGACACAACCTTCAGAAATGGGGCCACAAAGTGGAATCCACGACATGCGAGTGTGGAGAAGAGCAAACCACTGACCACCTGCTGCAATGCAACCTGAGCACTGCCACATGCACAAGGGAGGACCTTCTTGCAGCAACACCAGAGACACTCCAAGTGGCCAGAGACTGGTCAAAGGACATTTAATCAACTACCAAACTCACAAATTTTGTATTCAGTATTTTGTCTGTTTGTTTGCTTTGTTCTGTTAGAAATGTAATATAATTGACTGGTTGCCGATGACTTGATAAATAAATAGTATAGAGTGTAGACTAGGGGTCCTCAAACTAGGTCTATACTCTACATTTACCCTGTTGGTTCTCTTGGACATCTCAGTGGCTTTCGATACCATTGACCATGTTATCCTTCTGGGACGACTCTCCGGGATGGGCCTTGGAGGTACGGCTTTGTCGTGGCTCCAGTCCTTCCTGGAGGGTCGTTCCCAGATGGTGAAGCTGGGAGACACCTGCTCAGACCCCTGGCCTTTGACCTGTGGGGTCCCGCAAGGCTCCATTCTGTCTCCCATGCTCTTTAACATCTACATGAAATCGCAGGGAGAGGTCATCCGGAGTTTTGGAGTTGGGTGCCATCTCTACGCAGATGACACACAACTCTACTTCTCATTTCCACCTAACTCCAAGGAAGCCCCTCGAGTGCTGGACGAGTGCCTGACCGCTGTGGCTGTCTGGATGAGGAGGAACAAACTGAAGATTAATCCCGACAGACAGAGGTCCTCCTGGTCGATCATAAACTGGACCGGAGTATAGGGTGGCAACCTGTGCTGGACGGGGTTGCACTCCCCCTGAAGCCACAGGTCCGCAGTTTGGGTGTCCTCCTGGATTCATCGCTTACGTTTGAGGCTCAGGCGTCAGCGGTGGCCGGGAGGGCCTTTGCACAATTAAGACTTGTGTGCCAACTGCGACCATACCTCAGGAAGGCGGATCTGGCCAAGGTGATCCACGCCTTAGTCACCTCTAGACTGGATTACTGTAATGCATTCCATGTGGGGCTGCCCTTGAAAATGGCTCGGAAATTTCAGATGGTCCAACGGGCGGCGGCCACGTTGTTAATTGGGGCTCCTTACAGGGAGCGGTCAACCCTCCTGTTTATGGAGCTCCACTGGCTGCCATTCATTTTCCGGACCCAATTCAAAGTGCAGGTTCTTACCTACAAAGCCCTGAACGGTTTGGGACCTGCCTACCTGCGTGACCGCATCTCTGTGTGCGAATCCACATGATCTCTTCGATCATCTGGAGAGGCCCTGCTCACGATCCCACCTGCATCTCAGGCGCGATTGGTGGGGACGAAAGAGAGGGTCTTTTCGGTGGTGGCCCCTTGACTCTGGAACTCACTTCCTAAGGACATCAGGCAGGCCCCAACCCTGCAGTCTTTAGGAGGAGCTTGAAGACGTGGCTGTTCCAATGTGCCTTCCCAAAATAATGCCTCCATAGCACTTTGTCCTCCAAAGCACTTTACATTTTTAGGTCTGCTTGTTTGTTTTCCACAAATGCCCCATTACTTTTTCACCCATGCTCCAGCATTACTTTTAATTTTACATTTGGCCTTCCCATAGTTTTAATCGTGTGGTCTTATTGTTAATGTTGTATTGTTTTATTGCCCATGTTTTATTTTAATTGCTTGTATTGTTGTTTATTGCATGTATTGTTGTATTTGGGCTCGGCCTCATGTAAGCCGCACCGAGTCCCTTGGGGAGATGGTAGCGGGGTACAAATAAAGTGGTGTTGTTGTTAGTATTATAATACCCGGCCCTCGCTCAGGTCTGTTGGAACTAGGAAAATAGGTTTACATATCTGTGGAATGACCAGGGTGGGACAAAGAACTCTTTGTCTGCTGGAGCTAGGGGGAGATGGTAGCGGGGTACAAATAAAGTATTATTATTATTATTATTATTATTATTATTATTATTATTATTATTATAATTATAATACCCGGCCCTCGCCCAGGGTCTGTTGGAACTAGGAAAATAGGTTTATATATCTGTGGAATGACCAGGGTGGGACAAAGAACTCTTGTCTGCTGGAGCTAGGTGTGAATGTTGTTGTTGTTGTTGTTGTTGTTGTTGTTGTTGTTGTTGTTGTTATTATTATTATTGTTATTATTATTATTATTATTATTATTATTATTATTATTATTATTATTATTATACCCAGCCCTCGCTCAGGTCTGTTGGAACTAGGAAAATAGGTTTATATATCTGCGGAATGAGCAGGGTGGGACAAAGAACTCTTGTCTGTTGGAGCTAGGTGTGAATGTTTCAACTGACCACCTTGATGAGCATTTGATGGCCTGGCTGTTGTTTGGTGTGGCTTGTTAGTGCCTGGGGGAATCTTTTGTTGAGAGGTGGTTAGATGTCCCAGATTGTTTCCTCTCTGTTGTTTTGCTGTTGTAATTTTAGAGTATTTTTAATACTGGTAGCCAGAGATGCCACTGAAATCCACGAGCGGGTGGGCAATTTCAACAGAAAGGGGGGAACCATGAAAATGAACAAAATCTGGTTACCAGTATTAAAAAAAACTCTAAAATCAGGACAGTAAATAAAGAGGAGCACTCAAAAAAATTTCAGACAAGAATCAATCAGGGGGCCCCAGCAAAGAGTTCTCCCAGGCAGAAAGCAGCCAAGCCTGAAGCAGCAAGGCTGTTTAATAATAATAATAATAATAATAATAATAATAATAATAATAATAATAATGTTCTCCCAGGCAGGAAGCAGCCAAGCCAGAAGCAGCAAGGCTGTTCAATAATAATAATAATAATAATAATAATAATAATAAACCTTTATTTATACCCCGCTACCATCTCCCGCAGGACTCGGTGCGACTTACAAGAGGCCGAGCCCAAATACATCAGAAACAAAAAACACAACAACAAACAATACAACAATAAATAACTCATAGCAAAGTAAAACAATAACAAAAATATCACGACGCATTTAAAAACCTGTGGCAGGGCCAAATGTAATGATTAGAATTTTTAAAAACACTGGGCATGTCCAGGTGAAATAGGATGCTAATCAATGCTAATCAAAGTGATCAATTGCAACATTCACACTTGCCTCAAGCAGACAAAGAGTTCTTTCTCCCACCCTGGGCATTCCAGATATATAAACCACACTTGCCTAGTTTTCAAGGTAAATAGTAATAGTAACTTGCCTCCAAAAGACAAGTTCTTTCTCCCAATCTGGACATTTTTCTACAGATACATAAACCCCACTTGCAGAGTTTCTAACAGACCTCACAACCTCTGAGGATGCCTGCCATAGATGCAGGCGAAATGTCAGGAGAGAATGCTTCTATAACATGGCTATACAGCCCGGAAAACTCACGGCAACCCCTCCACTTTATGTTGGCACTCAAGTCACAGCTTAAAGTCCACCCTAGGCCGGCTTCTCCTCACTTCCCTCCCACACCAAGGAAAAGGACCCCCATAATATTCCGGATTGCACTCACCCATGTGGTGGGGGCCAGGAGGGCCATGAGGATGTGGTCCCTGGTTCATTGGTGGGTTGTGAGGCTGCATCCACGGCGGAGGGCCGTTGGGGTTGTGCTGCATTGGATGGCCTCCGTGCCCCCCCATATTGGACATGGGATGAGGGAAGTTGTGAGGGCCACTAGGCCCGGAAGGCCCTCCTCCTCCTCCTCCACCGCCACCACCACCGCCGCCACTGCCTCCTCCTCCTCCTCCACCAGCACCACCACCACCGCCACCACCGCCATGCATGCTGTGGAAAGGCCGGTTCTCAGAGGGGCCAGAATTCATCCACGGTGGACGGTTCTAAGGGGAAATTGTCAGAAACATCAAAAATTAACTAGGCATTTTTAATTACAAAAATGTGAGCCAAGCACTGAAAGGGTTAAATTGATGCAATGTCTCAGCAAAAGCTGCAGTTCTATATAAGCTGGAGTGTCTGAGCAGGAGTAGCCATCAGCCTGAGGTAAACCTCAGTGGGAGAAAGGTCTCAGTCTGTGAGAATGCCTCACAGTGTGAGAAAAGTCTTAGTCTGTGAGAGAAGGCCTCAGTGTGAGGAAGGCCTCACAGTATGAGGAAGGCCTTAGTCTGTGAGAGAAGGCCTCCCTTCCTTCCTTCCTTCCTTCCTTCCTTCCTTCCTTCCTTCCTTCCTTCCTTCCTTCCTTCCCTTTCCCTCCCTCTCCTTTTTTCTCCCTTCTTCCTTCCCTTTCATCCTTCCTTCCTTCTTTCCTCCCTCTTTCACCTTTCATCCCATCCTCCCTTTCATCATTCTCTCTTTCCCTCCCTCTCTTTTTTGTCTTCGTCCATTCTTCCTTCTTTCATCCTTCCTTCCTTCTCTTTTTCCTTCCTCCTTCTCATCCTTCCTTCCTTCCCCCTTTCCTCCCACCCTCTTTCACCTTCCATCCTTCCCATCCTCCCCTTCGTCCTTCCTTCTTTCTCTTTCCCTCACTCCCGTCTTTTTCTCCCTCCCTTCTCTTTCATCCTTTCGTCCTTCCTTCCTTCTTTCTCTTTCCCTCAATCCCGTCTTTTTCTCCCTCCCTTCTCTTTCATCCTTCCTTCCTTCCCTCTTTCCTCCCTCCCTCTTTCACCTTCCATCCTTCCCATCCTCCCTTTTATCCTTCCTTCCTTCTCTCTTTCCTTTCTCCTTCCCTCCCTCCCTTCTTCCTTCTCTTTCAACCCTTTCATCCCTCCTTCCTTCTCTTTTTCCTTCCTCCTTCTCATCCTTCCTTCCTTCCTTCCCTCTTTTCTCCCTCCCTCTTTCACCTTCCATCCTTCCCTTTCTCCCTTCCATTTCCAGGCAGCCGGTCCTCCTAGCACTGAGTGCTAGCATGTGGCCCACAAATCAGAAACTTTGCCCAAGCCTGCTATAGAATCAGGAGAGCTGTAGTTTTGCAAGGTATTTGGCTACAACTTCCAGAATTCCATCAAGTGTCAAACTACATTCTTCCTTGCGTAGATGCACCCCTAGTCATGCATTTTCTGGTACGTATCTTACTACTCCCTAACATGACCGTCAATCTACCCTCAGACATTCCAATTGCAGAAGATGCCCATGACTCACAGGTGGTGGCTGGCTATTTCCGGGCCCCGATGGTCTGGGACCGCTTGGCAAGGGTGGGTTGGAGGGTCCAGAAGATGACCCAACAGAGGCAGGGACAGGAGCTTCTCCCAGCTCAGCCATCAGAGACAAATACTCCTTGTCCATCCGTGCCTTGTCTTGTGCCGACTGGGGATCCCCAGGCCTGAAATGAGAGGAGCAACATTCATGTCTGGTCTGTGGAACAAGACATTAACGAAGAGCTGGGGACTATATGGCTACCAAGCTATTGCTGAGCTGCACCTCCTGAAGGTACTGTCAATAATAATAATAATAATAATAATAATAATAATAATAATAATAATCTATATAAATAAAAATATAATGTTCGTTTATGGGATTCACAGAACTCAAAAACCACTGGATGGATTGACACCAAATTTGGACACAAGACACCTAACAACCCAATGTATGTCCTTTACTCAAAAAAATGATTTTGTCATTTGGGAGTTGTAGTTGCTGGGATTTATAGCTCACCTACAATCAAAGAGCATTCTGAACCCCACCAACAATGGAACTGAACCAAACATTATAATACTAGTAATAATAATAATACAATATTATAATTATATATTTACATTACATATAATATTACAATATAATGCTATAGTGCAATATAGTAATATATAATACTGATATGGTAATATGCTAATAATATAATATATTGTATGAAAATATATCTTGTAAGCCGCCCAATATCCGTATTATATATTACTACATTGTACTGCACCATTATATTGTAATATTTTTAGTAATATTACATGTAATATATCTATATATATAAAAATGCTCTGTGCATAATGAGTTCCTTAAAAACAAAAGAACCAATGAACGAAATCACACCAAATTTGGCAACAAAATGTCTCACAACACAAGGAGTGACCATCACTCAAAAAATTATGATTTTGTCATTTGGGAGTTGTGGTTGCTGGGATTTATAGCTCACCTACAATCAAAGAGCATTCTGAACTTCACAATGATGGAATTGAACCAAACTTTGCACACAGAGCTCCCATGACCAACAGAAAATACTGAAGGGTTTGGTGGGCAGTATCCTTTGGTTTTGGAGTTGTAGTTCACCTACATCCAGAGATCACTGTGGACTCAAACAATGATGGATCTGGACCAAACTCTTCACAAATATTCAATACGCCCACATGTGGACACTGGTGGAGTTTGGGGAGAATAGAATCTTGGCATTTGGGAGTTGCAGTTGCTGGGATTTATAATTCACCTACAATCACAGAGCATTCTGAGGCCCACCAACGATAGAATTGGGCCAAACCTCCCACACAAAACCCCCATGTGGGCCACAGCAACGCGTGGCAGGGGACTGCCAGTATATAAATAAAAGTGTAATGTTTGTTTGTGAGATTAAAATAATTAAAAAACAAATTGGACAAATTGACACCAAATATGGACACAAGACACCTCTCAGGCCAACGAGTGACCATCACTCATAAAAACACCGAAAAACACAGCAGAAGTGACTTTAAAAAGCAAAAAAAAAACCCACTCCAAAATACATTACACCACATGCGCAAAAAACAACATATATACACATATATTCAAATATATACACACATATATGCATATATACACACACAAAACACATATACACAGAAAGGGGGAAGGAAGGAGAGAAGGAGGGAGAGAAAGAGGGAAAGGAGGAGGGAAGGAGAGAAGGAAGGAAAGAAAGGAAGTTAGAGAAGGAAGGAGAGAAGGAAATAAAAAAGTGAAAGAAGGAAGGAAAGAGAGAGGGAAGGAAGGAAGGAGAGAAGGAACGAAAGAGATAAAGAGGGAGGGAGGGAAGGAAGGAAGGAAGGAAAAGAGACAAGGAAGGATGGAACCAAAGAGCAAAGGAAGGGAAGAAAGAAACAGGTAGAGAAGGAAGAAAGAAGAAGGGAAAGAAAAAGAGGGAAGGAAGGAAGGAGAGAAAGAGGGAGGGAAGATTGGCCACAGCAACGTGTGGCAGATACAGCTAGTCTATATAAATAAAAATGCAATGTTTGTTTGTGGGATTAACATAACTCAAAAACCACTGGACAAATTGACGCCAAATTTGGACACAAGACACCTATCAGGCCAACGAGTGACCATCACTCATAAAAACATTAGAAAATACAGCAGAAGAGACTTAAAAAGCCAAAAAACAAATATTACATTACAACGCATGCACAAACCACATATATACACAAAAACACATATACACATATACACAAACACACACACACTCATACACACAAAACACATATACACAGACTGGGCCACAGCAACGTGTGGCAGGGGATGGCTAGTAATAATAAAACTTTATTTATACCCCGCCACCATCTCACCAAAGGGACTCGGGGCAGCTAACAAGAGGCCATTCCCAAGTAATTACAATAAGGCAAAACAAAATACATACAAACAGACAAGAGCATCAAATAAAATGGTTAACAATAACAAAGTAATGCAATAAAAATAATGACAATAACATAATGACACAAAGTATAAAATGATAGAAGAATTAAACAGTCCAAAGCATCTGAGCCGATGCTTACCGGGCAAACTTGCAATCTGATGCAATGTGGCCAGCTCCTCCACACTTGGTGCACACTGTTGTGTTGGTGATGCTGCGAGTCTCTGTATTTTGCCACGGGCGCAGAATCCTGGAGGAGAAAGTTGGGAAGGATCATTGGTAGCATGAGACAAGGCCCTTCTTCACACAGGCGACATCTGAGTCTGGCCAGGCACTCACCTGTTGTCATCTTCACGCAGTGTCCCATTCAGGCGGGCCAACTCCCGCAGCTGCATCTTGCGCAGGTCGTTCTGGTCCTCTGGGGTTTCAATGCCTTGTTTCAGAATGTTCCTTATCTAGAAAAAAAGGGGGGAGGGGGGAGTATGTGTATTCAGTGTGTAAGTAATTAGGTACCTTCCAATAATAATAATAATAATAATAATAATAATAATAATAATACTTTATTTATACCCCGCCACCATCTCCCCCTTTTTTGGTATGGGGACATAAGTTGATTTTTTCCAGTCTGATGGCTATTCTTGTGTTTTCCATATCTGCTGGCATATGGCAAGCATCACCTTGACAGCATCATCTTTCAAGATTTTAAGCAGTTCAGCTGGGATCCCGTCATCTCCTGCAATGTTTCTTAAGGCCCATTCAACCTCACTCCTCAGGATGCCTGGTTCTAATTCATTCACCACACCGTCAAAACTATCCTCAATATTATTATCCTTCCTATACAGATCTTCTGTATAGTCTCACCACCTTCTCTTGATCTCTTCAGCTTCTGTTAGGTCCCTGCCATCTTTGTTATTAAGGCCCATTCAACCTCACTCCTCAGGATGTCTGGTTCTAATTCATTCACCACACCATCAAAACTATCCTCAATATTATTATCCTTCCTATAAAGATCTTCTGTATAGTCCCGCCACCTTCTCTTGATCTCTTCAGCTTCTGTGAGGTCCCTGCCATCTTTGTTTTTAAAGCCCATTCAACCTCACTCCTCAGGATGTCTGGTTCTAATTCATTCATCACACCATCAAAACTATCCTCAACATTATTATCCTTCCTATAAAGATCTTCTGTATAGTCTCGCCACCTTCTCTTGATCTCTTCAGCTTCTGTTAGGTCCCTGCAATCTTTGTTTTGTATCATGCCAATTTTTGCCTGTTTCTAATTTTCTGGAAGAGGCCTCTGGTCCTTCCTATTCTGTTGTCTTCTGCCACTTCCATGCATTGCTTGTTTAAAAATAGTTCTTTATTTCTTCTGGCTAACCTCTGGAATTGTGCATTTAATTGGGCATATCTCCCCTTATCACTGAACGAATGAACAACAACAACACCATCTCCCCAAGGGACTCAGAGCGGCTTACATGAGGCCAAGCCCAACAACACATCAATAAAACAAGAAAGCAACAAACAAAAACAATACAATTAATATGAATCACATATAAACAATAACACACTAAGATTTCCTGCCTCAGTTCATGTCAGTTAGCAACTTAGTGTATCTATATGGGTTCATGCAAGAGGCCCCACTGAGGTTCTTTGAACAACGCCATCTCCCCAAGGGACTCGGAGTGGCTTACATGACGCCAAGCCCAACAACACATCAATAAAACAAGAAAGCAATAAACAAAAACAATACAATTAATATAAATCACATATAAACAATGACACACAAAGATTCCCTGCCTCGGTTCATGCCAATGAGCAAGTTAGTGTATCTATATGGGTTCCTGCAAGAGGCCTCACTAAGGTTCTGTTTGCTCTGTATTTGCACCTTCCATGTTCTGACTGCTGCTGAATTGGTATCTGTGAGTGGTTTTGTGATTAAGTTAGGAGATTGTCTATTGAGTTGGAAGTCTAGGAAACAAGCGGTTGTTTGTTTGTCAACTTCTGAGGCTGAGTTTGCCAGTTTGACAGAAGCGTGTAAGGAGATGTTGTGGGTCAAGAAGTTAGTTGAAGATGTTGGTATTAGGTTAGAAGATCAAGTTTTTGTAGATCCACAAACATGTATAGAATTAGCAAAGATGGAGTGTCCGAAAGCTAGGTCTACATATGTTGGTGTTAGGCATGCGTATGTAAGAGAGTTAGTTAGCGAAGGTGAGGTGTGTCTAAACTATGTAAGAAGTGAGGAAAATTTTGCAGATGTGTTGACAAAAGCTTTAGGTGAAGAAACGTTTCTAAGGTTTTCAGATATGTTGGGTTTAGTCAGTGCATGAGGAGGAGTGTCAGGTTTTACAATGTATTGTAATGTAATATAGCTGAGTCATGCACTGCTAATAAGCTTCTATTGGAAATGCTGAGTCATGCATTAACTGTATATAGAACTTCATTTGGGGAATGTGTTCTGGCCTAGTCCAGGTGATTGTGAATGATGTAATCCTGGGTCTGACTTAAGTTAATGAGTTGGGAACCAATCAGAGATTGCTATGTGTAATTGTATAGAATTGTATATAAGGAAGTCATGTAGAGTGTATATTCTCCTTGTGCTGTGATGCTGTTCGTCGAAGGCAATATGTAATTGATTAAAAGAACCTGTCTGCTAAGACAAGATATAACTGTGTGCTGTGGTAAGTTTGTAGTGTCATCTAGATTGGAGGGGAAAACAATAGTAAAACTGACAATGGCCGGACATGTGCTCAAGTGTCTGTAAAAGAGTTCCAGAGTGACTGCAGTTTGTGGGAGCAGTTGACTGAAAAATACTATGCAGGAAGAAGGTACTGAAAAGCGCGCCGAAGTTGTGCAACTGATCTGCTGCTGAATTGTGAAATTAATCTCAACAGTTTTGCTGCAAGGGGATAAACCATTCAGTTCCTGAATGAGCGGTGATGACATTGTTAAGGACCTTGGCAATCGGTTCTTTACCTGTTCCACAGCCTTCTTCACATTCTCCATGGTGTTGGCCGTCACCAAAGCATGGAGCGGCTCATCCTCACCAGGAAGCATCTGGCCATCCTTCCGGCCCACTTTCCCTTCTTTGACAGACCCTTTGCCTCTGATCATGATCTTGGCGTTGCACTCCTTTTCAATATTCTTCAGGGTGTTCCCTCTGGAGGGAGAAAAAAAAAGTGGTTTTTGCAAAACCAAAGCTCTGAAACTCTTCTGCCTAACAATCTAGAACTAGGAAGAAATACAGTGATGAAATATATGTTCACCTTCAAGATTTAGGCTGACTCCAAGAATGCTTGAGCATATTCCAGACCACGACATAAGCACTCCTACCCCACCCCTAGTTTCCTGATATGATCTGTCATTAGGCCTTCTCCGAAAGAACAACAGTCTTACCTGGGTCCAATCAGGAGCCCCACAAAGTTTATTTCCGGATATTCATCTTGCGGGATCATCACTTTGTCACTCACTCGAGTTGCTGGAGGTCTGCAAAGAGCAGCAAATGTCAAGATCTAATTATCCTCTCTCTAACAAAAATCCATACTTAAATCGACACAAGAAAATGCTTGAAGATCAAGACCACATGGCAGTACTAGTTGAGAGGAAACTCTGAAAGAGACACACTTTTGCACAAAGGTTCGATACATAACTGGTTGGGCCCCTCTTGAAAAGAAGCCTGGACATAGTTATCCATATTCTGATTAACAACCAGATAAGATGCAGAAGTGTGCTGGGCCCATAACCCTTGTTGGGGCTGCACGAGGGGGATGTTGCTGCACTCTTTGACAATGTCGTAAATAAATAAATAAATAAATAAATAGATACTCAAATGCAGGCGCAGGAATTACCATATGTACTATTCACAGTGACCACACTGGGAAAAGGCAGGCTATAAATATTGTAAACAAACAAACAAACAAATAATACTCTATGCAAATAATGTACACAATTGTCATGCATTGGGATGCCTGAAAACTTCCAACTTGGTCAAACAGTACACAAATTCCCCCCAATCATACCTCCTCCAATCGCCAAACTTACTTGTAATCAGCCGGGGGCTTGAAGTCTGGGTTGAGCGCCACCATCTCTGTGATCAGGTTGTGTCTCTCCTCCTCCAGCTTTTTGCGGGTGCGGAACTCGCGGGTGTTCAAGCGCTTCCCCTCGCTATTGTATATCGGCTCGGGAGACGGAGACCTGCAGAAGAATAACCCCCAATGACTTCTCGTGCGGTGGAGCCTTCGAGGCCACTTATTTAGTACAGGTTCCCCTCAATTCTAGCGCAATTTAGAAAACAAAAATTAAAAGAGACCATCGGAAAAGAAGGTGTAAGCTCACTCATGCCTGTTAATATCACATGGACAAGGCAGCCGTAGCAAACCACTGCCTGCTACCCAGAGGGGGGGAAAAAACCTGGGGTGTTTTATTAAGGGAGGAGGGGTGCAGAGAGGAGAGTGAGGGGTGATATACACAGCCATGACAACACCTCTGCCATGAGTGTGCCTGTCGTTAAAAAAAGGGGGAAGAGGGCAGGGAAGATGGAGAAAGTTGATTCACACAGAGAACAAACTTTCCAACTTCATTATTCCATGGAGGCAAACATTTAGAAAAGAACCCTGGCACAGGAGGTAAATCAATAAAGAATTATTCAGGTTAACTCTGGACTTTTTTAAAATCAGAAAAGTAACAAGGCAAGTTAAGCGTCTATCAAATGCTTTCTAGCAATACAGAATTAGGACTAGGTCAACTGGCACCGCGTGGACGGGTCACGGCTTCTGTCCTGGCTTTACCTCCACTTTGCTGGCTGCATCAAGGCCGACTGAACCTGTTTACTGTGTTTAAGAGTTAGCAAACTGGGGTAGGTACAAGCAGATGGAGCTCACCGTTCTCAGGACGCAGTCTGGGCTTGTAAACCAGCAGAGACAGACCGGCTTTCTCCATGTGGTTTAGGCACCCAGAAAGCAGAGGCTCTAACAAAGCAAAAATGTTATAACTACAAAGGGCGTTCCTTAAAGATTTCCCCTGACCCACTTCTATTTATCACAGGACGCTGAAACTGCACATGTGTAATGATATAAGTCTCTATAGGTTACGTGCCAATTTACAACCCAGAACTGAGAATGGTCTTGATTGTACAGGTGCGGAAGTGGTGTGAGGTTTGAGAATGGATCCAGTGGAAGTTAGAGCAGTCCTCCAGTTCCCTGACTTGAAAGGCCAGACACCAAAGGAGACATTCAATGAGATGAAAGAAGCTTATGGTGAGGATTTCCCATCATATGATGGAGTCAAGAACTGGCTTTGTCCATTCAAATGTGGTCAGACTTCGGTGGAAACAGCTCCAATTCCAGGGCGACCCCACTCTGCTATTGAGGAACACAACATTCAGCAAGTGGAGGTTGCCATTTTGGAAAATCGCTGCATACATCCGCCTGCCACCTCAGGAGGAGAAGGAGGAAATCCTGCTACTCTCCCCCTCCCAAGCCAGCTGAGAGGAGGATGGGGACTGAGGAAGAAACTTTAAAAACACCTGTCTCCTGGCTGTTGCTTACTACATCTGCCTGCCACCTCAGGAGGAGGAGGAGATCCTGCTACTCTCCCCCTCCCAAGCCAGCTAAGAGGAGGAAGGGGACTGACACCTGTCTCCTGGCTGTTGCTTACTACATCTGCCTGCCACCTCAGGAGGAGGAAATCCTGCTGCCTCCTCTCCCCCTCCCAAGCCAGCTAAGAGGAGGAAGGGGACTGAGGAAGAGACTTTTAAAAACACCTGTCTCCTGGCTATTGCTTACTACATCTGCCTGCCACCTCAGGAGGAGAAGAAGGAAATCCTGCTGCTACTCTCCCCCTCCCAAGCCAGCTAAGAGGAGGAAGGGGACTGAGGAAGAGTTTAAAAACACCTGTCTCCTGGCTGTTGCTTACATCTGCCTGCCACCTCAGGAGGAGAAGGAGGAAATCCTGCTACTCTCCCCCCCCCCAAGCCAGCTAAGAGGAGGAAGGGGACTGAGGAAGAGTCTTTAAAAACACACTACATCTGCCTGCCACCTCAGGAGGAGAAGGAGGAAATCCTGCTGCTACTCTCCCCTCCCAAGCCAGCTAAGAGGAGGAAGGGGACTGAGGAAGAGACTTTAAAAACACCTGTCTCCTGGCTGTTGCTTACTACATCTGCCTGCCACCTCAGGAGGAGAAGGAGGAAATCCTGCTACTCTCCCCCTTCCAAGCCAGCTAAGAGGAGGGAGGGGACTGAGGAAGAGGCTTTAAAAACACCCGTCTCCTGGCTGTTGCTTACTACATCTGCCTGCCACCTCAGGAGGAGAAGGAGGAAATCCTGCTGCTACTCTCCCCCTCCCAAGCCAGCTAAGAGGAGGAAGGGGACTGAGGAAGAGACTTTAAAAACACCTGTCTCCTGGCTGTTGCTTACTACATCTGCCTGCCACCTCAGGAGGAGAAGGAGGAAATCCTGCTGCTACTCTCCCCCTCCCAAGCCAGCTAAGAGGAAGAAGGGGACTGAGGAAGAGGCTTTAAAAACAACAGTCTCCTGGCTGTTGCTTACTACATCTGCCTGCCACCTCAGGAGGAGAAGGAGGAAATCCTCCTGCTTCTCCCCGCCGCCCAAGCCAGCTAAGAGGAGGAAGGGGACTGAGGAAGAGACTTTAAAAACACCTGTCTCCTGGCTGTTGCTTTTTATTTCTGTTGTGGTTTTATATTGTATTTAATGTCTTTATGTGTATTTTGATCTTATGTGTATTACTTATTGCCCGTAAACTGCCTTGAGTTGCTGAAAGGCTGAGAAAGGGGGTATACAAATACAGTAAGTAAATAAATAAATAACTGTGCCAAGTTTCATTGCTCAGTCCAGAGAAAGTGGGTCAGGGGAAATGTTTATTGAACGCCCCTCGTAATTTTTTTTAAAAAAAGAAGTCAGTATAACTTTACCACATCTGTATTTGTGGTTTAAAAAAAAGCATGCCTAGAACTGTGCTTAAGTTTTATAGATATTCCTCCAAAACGTATTGAATAAAAATTTATTAGTTAGCTGCAAGAAGGGAAGAGATATTGGTCATGTTATTAAAAAAAACACATCCTTGAAGTAATCAGAAAACTAAACCCGGGGTTTTTAGTTTAGACAGTCTTTCTTCCTAGCTGGTTAAAGGATTGATTAGAGTCAGTTGATGCCCATTGTCTTCTCAGTCTGAATCGTCAACACAAGAATATGAAATAAAAAAGGTAATATTTGGTAAGGAGTGATCATGTCTAAATTACACCTCCATGTCAAGGACCTGAGAAGGCCTAACAGCCCCATAGCAGTGTGAACATGTCGCTCCCCCCACAAGTCCATTTTCACTAGCCGCCTAAAAATGAACTCGTCCACTAGCTTAGCAGATCCTTTTAAACGCAAGGAGACCTGTTAAATTAATGAAGTGATTGGTTCCAAGATTAAACCTTAAGAAAGAGCTTTGAGCTGAGTATACCTAATCATTTCATGCCTTCCGCAGCACAAGCTGTCCTTTTGAAGATTAGGCGAGAGAAGTGAGGTTTTAAAAAACTGTATATTATTAATTATTATCAGGTCTTTTAGCCAGTATGGTCTCATTCCACGAAAAGGTTGAACAAATAAGCATTTTCTGGATACATAACAATACAGTAATTGTGATCCCTTTGTTTTGCATTCACCATTTCATTTACCTGTTAATTCCCACTGCCCATCCCCCCCCCATGCATTCTTATCAAATACAAATAGCATGTAAACCAGATTGTTGTGAGTTTTCCGGGTTGCATGTCCATGTTCCAGAAGCATTCTATCCTGACGTTTCTCCCACATCTATGGCAGGCATCCTCAGAGGTTGTGAGGCCTGTTGGAAACTAGGCAAGTGGGGTTTATATATCTGTGGAATAATGTCCAGGGTGGGAGAAAGAACTCTTGTTTGCTTGAGGCAAGTGTGAATGTTGCAACTGGCCAGCTTACTTAGCACTGAATGGCCTTGCAGCTTCAAAGCCTGGCTGCTTATTCCATCAGCCCACTTTGGTTGGGATTGAATGTTTACTTTTAAGCTTTTTTTATTTATATTTGAATTATTTTATGTTTACTTTTAAGCTTTTTTATTGTATTTCTATTTGAATTACTTCTAAGCTCTTATTGTATTTATATTCTAATTATGTCATGTTTATTATTGTAAGTTTAAATTGATATGTCATGTTTATTATTATATGTGTAATGCGGCATTGTATGCCATGGATTGTAAGCCGCCCTGAGTCCCCCACTGGGGTGAGAAGGGCGGGGTATAAATGTAGTAGTATAATAATAATAATAATATAATATATGATATAAATATAAATAATATATAATATACTATCTTATGTATAATTTATAATATTAAATAATATATAACATAATAATAATAATAATAGGAGCCCCTGGTGGCGCAGTGGGTTAAACCCCTGTGCCGGCAGGACTGAAGACCGACAGGTCGCAGGTTCGAATCTGGGGAGAGGTGGATGAGCTTTCTCTATCAGCTCCTCATGCGGGGACATGAGAGAAGCCTCCCACAAGGATGATAAAAACATCAAATCATCTGGGCGTCCCCTGGGCAACGTCCTTGCAGACAGCCAATTCTCTCACACCAGAAGCAACTTGCAGTTTTTCAAGTCGCTCCTGCCATGACAAAATAAATAATAATAATAATAATAATAATAATAATAATAATAATAATAATATAATAACTTCTGCCTGAGGGAATCTTTGTTTGGAGGTGCTAGCTGGCCCTGATTGTTTATTGTCTGGAATTCCCCCTTTTTTTAGTATTCCTCTTGATTTACTGTCCTGATTTTAGAGTTTTTCAATACTGGTATCCAGATTTTGCTCATTTTCATGGTTTCCTCCTTTTTGTTGAAATTGTTCACATGCTTGTGGATTTCAATGGCTTCTCTGTGTAGTCTGACATGGTGGTTGTGAGAGTGGTCCAGCATTTCTGTGTTCTCAAATAACATGCTGTGTTAGTTCATCAGATGCTCTCCTATGCTGACTTGTCTATTTGTATTAGTCTGCAGTGCTTTTCATGTTCCTTGATTCGTGTTTGGGCAATGCTGTGTTAGGGACGTGAGGACCACCAAATGAAGCACCCAAACACAAATCAAGGAACATGAAAGGCACTGCGGACTAATTCAACCAGACTCAGAATTCCAGACAGAAAACATTCGGGACCAGCTAACACTTCCAAACAAAGGATTCTGCCTGGAAAGAAGCAGCCAGGCTTTGAAGCTGCAAGGCCATTAAATACTAATCAAAGTGGCCAATTGCAACATTTGTAAAGAATGAATGTTTGAATGCATGTAAAAGGGCAGAAGAAACAGGCCTAAAGAAAAACCAGCATGGAGTTCTCGCAAGGCATGATATGGGTCGGACTTGGCAGTCGAAGCGAGGAGGCAGTAAGGCATAGCTGAACAACAATGGACAATAAAGTGTGCGACCGGGTATGTAAGGAGTGTGCAGGGGTACCCCATAAGTCATATGGCCTGGAATGTGGATGACCTGAACTTGAAAAGAACAAGGACGTGAAAGGGACAAAACAGCCTGATTATTAAAGGAAGGAAAATGGATTTTGGCCTATAAATGCAGGGGACCCCAAGAACATGCACGCTTTCTGATCCATGGCAACGGAGCGTCCGCACCTCTTCGGAAAAGACTGATCATCTTCACCGGAGGAGGCCTGTGTGTGCGTGAGTATGCGTGAATGTGTATGTGCACGAGAGCTCTCCCTTGATGTGATTCTGATATGATTCTGTGATGATTGTATTTCAATAAATGTTACATGAATAGTGTTAAAACCAAATTTGGTCTCTAAAGCGTCTCATTGGTCTAAACTACTTTACTATTCCTTGAACACTCTGCACAAAAGAACAGGAACCTCTTTGGGTTCATAACACATTCACACCTGCCTCCAAGAGACAAAAGTTCTTTCCCCCAGTCTGGAATTTTTTCTACAAATATATAAACCCCACTTGCCTAGTTTCTAACAGTTTCTCGGAGGATGCCCGCCATAGATGTGGGCGAAACGTCAGGAGAGAATGCTTCTGGAACATGGCCAGACAGACCAGAAAACTCACAGCAACCCAATGATTCCGGCCACGAAAGCCTTCGACAGCATATAAATCTATTGCCATCAACAACACATTTTCACCTATTAATTTTAACCTAAAACCCCAATATTACAGTGAATAGAACAATTCAAGAAGGCATTTCTCAGCAGGCAATCTCATGCCTAAAAGCTATCATTTAAACCTTTCTTGCAAGTCTTCCAAAACTAGAGGCAGTGTTATCAGTATTTATTAACTGCCTAGAATTATGACTTCAGTAGGGTTGAATTTAAGGAAAAGAGGTATTTCATTGTGTTAAGGGCAAAAAAATGGGTTACAATTCCCAACTGGCTATAAAGAGATGAATGTTGACAAGCCAATTGTTGAAAAAGACAAAAAGCACATGTTATTTTGTTGGAGGATACTGTCCAATTCTGCACACTTTCTAGTGCAGTACTGTTTGGGCCCCAACTCCCAAGAGCTTGGCCATTGCTGTGTAGTAGCTGCCCCCCAAAGAAACTGGTTAGTACCCATCTCGGTTTAAAAAACCATGCTCAGCCACCATTTGGAAAGTATTGCAAAGTCAGCGGTCAGAAAAAGTTCCCAGGTTGCTTGGACTCAGCGGCTGTGCTGAGGACTCCTCAGCGTGAACCTGTGAGAAAGACCTCTGGACATTTGCCCAAGACCAGCACTGCGTATGTTAAAATGAGTTGGCCACCATTTTCTTTTCTACACAGGCTTGGAAATCCCACACCAAGCAAGGAACCCGACCCCTTTCTGGCTTCATGCCTTCCCTACCAATAAAACCTCTTGCTACCATCTGTCACATCAGATCACGGAAGACATTTCATAAGGAAGGAACCTCATTGAACTGACATTACGATGCCACCAAAAATTTATTGAAAAAGGTAAAAAGTGTTACTGTCAGCTGGTTAAAACTGTTTTCCCAACCTGTCCTCAGGGTTAGGGGGGATGCCCAGGTCTCCTGTGCGCAGTTTACGAGTCAGGTCTTCTATCTGCAGTTGCACTGGAAGAAACCAGGTTAGGAAAGAAAAAAGGATGGAAAAAAAGACAATGTTACCAAAAAACATTTCAAATCTCAACATCAAAGCATGAAGAACTGGAGAATTTGTAAGGGACGACTGATACGTCAACATAAAAAATCAAGAAAATCCTACAACGTTATGTCAGTCAAATGCATTCAACAGGAATCCAGAAAAGACCCTCCTTAGCTCTAGCAAGTCTTCAAAAATAGTTAATTGATCAGTAAGCAAAACATTAATGAGTGTTAAGTGAGTTTGGCTATCAGGTAACCATCTGACTGTCTACAACCAGTAGGAAGAGAGGACACCACTGATTTTGATTTTGCTGCAATATCAAGGCTGTACAGGTCCAATTTTGAAACACCACATTTCATAGCAGTTTAGCAGGAGTTCACAATCTTTGTTAACTAACAGAGCACACTTCTATATATATATAATGTGACCCTTTGCTAAAATATATCATTATGCAAAACCTTTATGTCTTTCTATTCAATTATGCGTACACACCCAGCATTCCCAAATGCAGTACTAACAGATGTCAAGCATTAGCCGTTGGTTTTTAAACTCAAAATATAACATTTTGACTCTAGTTCATCCAATGAGTTCAAGATAATTAGCTAGCGGAGAGCACTGGGCACAGAACAGCAGCTGGTTTGGGATGCAGGCCTTAAGCCCCTTGCCCAGAGGCGGCTTTTGTTCCAAGTCCCACGGACATCTGGTAGGCCACTCTGGAGAATATGGTTTGCGGGTGACAACTCAAATCACTTGGAGCAAAGGTACACCCGCTTCCATATTCATGAAAGATTAACCATGCATAAAATATAGGAAGGAAGCTGGGTCCTGATAAATCTATTCACTTGGGCAAGTATTTATTTTTATTTATTTAAAACTTTTATATCCCAATCTTCTCACCTCCGTAGAGGGACTCAGACCGGCTTACAGCAAGGATTCAATGCTACTAATACAAGTTAAAACATCATACAAAAATACAAGATTAAAACACATATAGATAAAATATATATATACCAAATCGCCAAGGTAAAACAATGTTCAACTCAGTCCGCATATGTGGTCACTCACTTTGGTCTGTAAATAGTCTCAGCCATTATTCTGGGAATGCTTCATAACATAACCAGGATTTCACCGGGATTGTGGCGCAGCTGGCTGAGTGTCAACTGCTAGGCTTGGTTGATCAAGAAAAAATTTGGTTCTAAACTCGTTTCGTATCTAGGGGGCGCCCACGTTTCTAATCTGAGAGGATTTCCAAAATTTCAAATTTCAAAATTTCGATATTTACGAAATTTCGTAAATATACGAATCGATTCGTTAATGGAGGACACGATTGCGCAATACGCGAAAAAAACCTCCAAACGGAACAGTGGGAACTTCTGCAGCTTCCCTCTCCCTCTGTTGTTGACTGTTGGTGTGATAAAACTAACAACTATATATTATATTATATTATATTATATTATATTATATTATATTATATTATCAAAAAATTGTCCCAAGCCCATAGCACGTCCAAAAGCAGAAGATTAAGTCAGAATGAGATGTCCATCCAAAAACAATCCGAAGTCAGAATGGAGTCCGCACTTACAGGAATCCAGTCTTTAAAACGGCTTGTCTTAACCCAGCTAAACGTCTTCCTGGCCCAGCAGCTTAAAACTATTATTATTATATATTATATTATATTATATTATTAAGAATAGATGGCCATCTGTCAGGGGTGCTTTAATACACAATTATATTAATATAATATAATAACATACAATTATAACATATAATATAATTATAACATAATATAATATAATAATATACAATTATAATATAATAATATAATATAATAATACATACGAAAGTAATTACGAAAATTGGAAAAATTGTTTCGATTCTTAATTACTCCTCACACTATTCCTGCATGGCTCGATATTGGATCGAAAGCTAATTTAAATATGAATTCATAATGAGTTTAGAAAATAACGAACACGATCAACCAAGCCTATCAGCTGCATTAAGATCACTCTGACCAAAAGGTCATGAGTTCGAAGCCAGCCCGGGTTGGAGTGGGTTTCCAACCATTGTGTAGCCTGTTGTCGACCTTTGCAACCCGAAAGACAGTTGCATCTGTCAAGTAGGAAAATTAGGTACCACTTTAAGGGGGGGGGCTAAATTAACTGATTTATGAGGCCATAAAGAAGACTCCAGCAAAGCATTCCAGCGGGGAAGCATGCGGGGAATGCGGAAGTGCTTCATCAGCGTCGCAGATGGACGATAAAAGCGACAGCTCCCCTGGCGGCCAGAAAAAGTTAAATAGCCTCTGTGTATGTCTGTATATGTTTGTATGTCAAAAATTGGCATTGAATGTTTGCCATATATGTGTACACTGTAATCCGCCCTGAGTCCCCTGCGGGGTGAGAAGGGCGCAATATAAAAGCTGTAAATAAATAATAAATAAATTTCACTAGTCTCCTGAAGGACAAGAGGGAGGGGGCAAATCTAATCTCGCTTGGGAGAGAGTTCCATAGCCGAGGGGCCACCACAGAGACGGCCCTGTCTCTCGTTCCCACCAAGCGTGCTTGCGAAGGTGGTGGGACCAAGAGCAGAGCCTCTCCGGAAGATCTTAACGCCCTTGATGGTTCACAGGAGAGAATACATTCAGATAGTATCATGCATCTCCAATACCCTACTTCTCTCCATTAACTTGGGGAAGGGGTCACTTATTCCACATAAAAGACCATTCATAGTTCTGCATGATTCAAAATTCAATGAAGAGAAATGCCTTCCTTATGCAAGAAAAGGAGGAAAGTTCTCTCCATTTCACTGAGGACTTTAAGATCGTCTGGGGAGGCCTTCTCTCGGTCCCGCCTTCATCACAAGTACATTTGGCGGGAACGAGAGACAGGGCCTTCTCAGTGGTGATCCCTTGGCTATGGAACTCCCTTCCTAATGAGATCAGGTATGCCAACCAAATTCGATATGGTTGTTGATACAGGAGATCGGATCTGCTCCCTCGCTCTTAACGTTTCGGAGGCAAGTAAAAACATGGCTGTTTGAGCAAGCGTTTACAAATGCAGAGTAGCTAATATAGGAAATCGAGTGACTTGACAATGGAACTGGACTAAGGGAGTTCCATAGCCAAGGGGCCACCACTGAGAAGGCCCTGTTTCTCGTCCCCGCCAAACGTACTCGTGATGAAGGCGGGACCGAGAGCAGGGCCTCCCCAGACGATCTTAAAGTCCTCAGTGAAATGGAGAGAACTTTCCTCCTTTTCTTGCATAAGGAAGGCATTTCTCTTCATTGAACTTTGAATCACGCAGAACTCTGAATGGTCTTTTATGTGGAATAAGTGACCTCTTCCCCAAGTTAATGGAGAGAAGTAGGGTATTGGAGATGCATGATACTATCCGATAATAAGAAGATGCTAATGATGTTGTTTTATTGCTCTTGTGGTGTTTTATACTGTTTTAATTTATATTGCGTTTTTATGTGTACCGATTTGTTGGAAACCGCCTTGAGTTGCCGATTGGCTGAGAAAGGTGGTATACAAATACAATACATCAATAATAAATAAATAAATAAACAAGAAATACGAGAAACCAGTATCACTTCTGCTTGAGCAAAAACTTAACCCGATTGGATCACACAGGTCCACGTAGTATTAATATTTAGGCATCTGAGAGGCCTTTTAATGAAACCCTCACAGAACGACAGCGCTGTGAGGGAGGCCAGGCAGTCGAGAATGAAGTGTAGCAAAGCTGGGGCGTGAAACTGGGCCTTGTCTTTTGAAAAATCACAACACCTTCACCGTACTTTTCCAGCCTCTTTGAGGGACCAAGGAAGAGGCAGAATGCCCAACGGATGGTCAAAGGGAACCAGAAAGTAGGCCTCCAAGTTGGAATTTAGGGAGCTTAAGGAACACTTTGAAACCTCAAATAAAGCTCAGGGATTCATATAGCACGTTTTGATCAGAAAATATAGCCTGAGAATCCTGCACTGTTTTCTTTACTTGCTTTAAACTGATTTATTTCCCATTTCACAGGCTGCATTCAAGATTTTAGAAGTGGGACTGTAAATGTTAACAATACAAGAAAAAAGCATTAGTTTCTCAGTTTGACAAGACAGAATCTTGCAAAACTGAAAAACAGTATTTCTCAGGGACTGAGTATTCTAAATATCTCAAACAGACAATACATTTCATTAATGTGTTTTAACGTTTTACACCAAACAGACTGATCGAACTAATGGATTTCTAAACAAATATTCACACCATTGATTGTTTTCAGGCATTCCATCAACGCACATCCACATTGGTTCAAAATCTCACTCTCAAAACATGTCATTATTCATTGACGTTCTAGAGAATTGGACAATGTTGTACAGTCGGGATTGCCTCTATTCTTTGCAATGCTATTCTGCATTTTGAAATATTTCAGCAGACCAATTATTTGCTGGGATCAAGATCGTTTATCTTAATGTTCATAACTATTTTCAGATGTATTTGGTAGTCCCTCTTTCACAAATCCCAATGCATGCACTTTTGCTATGGATTCCTTTGGTACTCTGTGTGTCATACCTCTACCCTTTCGCTATTTATCCCGTTCAGCTGTGGGTTGCAACACCAGTTAGTACAGCAAGTGAAGCACTCGTATCTTTGCACAGAATGAGAATTCTGACCCGAATCTATTACCGTATATACTTGAATACAAGCCGACCCAAATATAAGCCGAGGCACCTAATTTTACCACAAAAAACTGGGAAAACATATTGACTCGACTATAAGCTGAGGGTGGGAAATGCAGCAGCTATGAGTCAACTTCAAAATAAAAATAGATACCAATAACATTACATTAATTGAGGTATCAGTAGGTTAAATGTTTTGGAATATTTACATAAAACTGTAATTTATCTGTCCAACTCCGATTGAACCATCATTTTAACTTCCTTCTATGTAAAAGTGCTTACCTATCCTTCCAATAATGATAAAGAGAGTAAAATAATAAATATAATAATAATAATAATAGAGTAAAATAATGGAAATGTAATAATAACAATAAATAGGGGAAAATAATAAATGTAAAAATAATGTAAATGTAATAATAGAGTATTGTGGCGCAGCTGGCTGAGTGTCAGCTGCATTAAGATCACTCTGACCAAAAGGTCATGAGTTCGAAACCAGCCCGGCTTGGAGTGGGTTTCCAACCAATTGTGTAGCCTGTTGTCGACCTTTGCAACCTGAAAGACAGTTGCATCTGTCAAGTAGGAAAATTAGGTACCACCTTAAAGTGTGGGGAGGCTAAATTAGCTAACTTATGAGACCATAGAAAAAGACTCCAGCAAGCACTCCAGCAAAAAGCATGCGGGGAATGCGGAAGTACTTCATCAGTGTCGCAGATGGAAGCGACAGCTCCCCTGGCGGCCAGAAAAAAGTTAAATAGCCTCTGTGTATGTCTGTATATGTTGTATGTCAAAATTGGCATTGAATGTTTGCAATATATGTGTACACTGCAATCCGCCCTGAGTCCCCTGCGGGGTGAGAAGGGCGGAATATAAAAGCTAGAAATAAATAAATAAATAAATAAAATAAAAATAATAGAGTAAAATAATGTAAATGTAATAATAAATAGAGTAAAATAATAAATGTACAAATAATGTAACTGTAATAATAGAATAAATAAATGTAATAAAAATAATAGAGTAAAATAATGTAAATGTAATAATAAATCAAGTAAATAAAAATAATAAAAATAATAGAGTAATGTAATGTAAATGTAATAATAGAGTAAAATAATAAATGTACAAATAATGTAACTGTAATAATAGAGTAAATAAATGTAATAAAAATAATAATAGAGTAAAATAATGTAAATGTAATAATAAATCAAGTAAATAAATATAATAAAAATGATAGAGTAATGTAAATGTAATAATAAATACAGTAAATAAACGTATTAAAAATAATACTAATAACAGAGTAAAATAATAATTAACCTTGGCTCAAGTATAAGCAGCGGGGAACTTTTTCAGCCTTAAAAAGGGGCTGAAAAACTAGGCTTATATTCGAGTATATACAGTAATTTGTAGACATGGTTCTGATAAAACGGATCAACAGGTATAATCAGATTTATTTAAATAATTACAGAAATTTATTCATAATTCCAATGATTCAACATTAGGAACTGTTTCTTCAATATACTTTTTTCGAGCCAATTATTTTGGTGCCCCATTAGCTCCATTACCCAGCTTCTATCAATGAAATATATCAAAATAGCACCAAGCTATTTTCTGCGAAGGTTTCAAGTCATGGCCAGGTAAAAACTGAACAAAACCAAACCTATGTTGACAGTAAGGAAAACTGCCTCTTGTGGAATGAAGTGCATAACATAACAAGACCAGCTTTTTCCAATGTGCCTACCAGTTTTCCTATACTGAAACTTTGCCTGACACTGAGGCAGACTATTCTGCACTGTAAAAAAACCTATTTTGTTAATTTTGAAAGTAAGCCAGTTCATGAGGCCTTAGAGCAGCAAAGTAGCTCTCAGTATTAACTGTGAACAGCTGAGGGTTACATATCAAACTTCTCAAGTGATTAATGCACAAGAAAGGAGTAATTGTCTTCTTTTGTAACATCAGTGAGATGAACAGACCATAAGGGACATTTGCAGCTGATAATGAAACATCAGAGCGTCCTAGGAGGATTTCACACAAATACACATACACACTTTGCATTCTATTGCAAATACAATTTCTGTTAATTCCCAAATGCAGGATAATAGTATGTAACACTTCTCAATTTTCTCAGAACCAAATTCATTTCCCAGCAAATGAATATCGCCCCCACCATGCTAATACAACCCAACTCCAAGTATTTCATGATATCAAAAAAACCCCACAAAATAAACACACAACCCAGAGGTTAAGAAACGTTCCCTTCTGCTAAGTGATACAAACAATCTTCACTATCTTGAAGGCTCAACGTTAATTTTGCATAATTAGCATAGTAAGGTACAAAAGGTGAGAAGGGAACCATGGTTAGATTACAATATTCCAGTGTGAAAGAGGTACTTGCTTCCAAACAATATAGCTTCAAAGAGGACTCTTTAGTGTTCTCCACTAGCAAGAAGTCTGTGATGCTTATAAGAGATCTGGATGATTCGTTTCCATGGCCAATTATGACTAAATATCAGAAAATGTTAATCTCCCACCCTTTCTAGGGACTTCAGTTTCTAATATGCCTGTGGAGGACACAGTTTCAATCAAAATGCGACAGAGGGGTGGGATGGAACACAATTCACTGAGAAAAGAGTCTATATTATATATACATATGGTAATGAAAACAAGACCACCAAAACCCAAGTCTTTGAAAACAAACACTGAAAGTCTTGAATGCCCACCATAGCTAAAAACACTTTCTGGATCGGTACTGGCACGAAAACATGAAAGAACAGAACAAGTATTTACCTATATAAGCTCTCTCTTGTTCACGGGTAAGCCCAGGAGGGATGACTGTGGGCATTCCAGGGATGACAGTCTTCTGGTCCATGGTGTCCTGGTTCCATCTGCTCCTCTTTCTTTTTTTATTAGGATAATCTGCAAACACATTATACCTAATTATAATACCAGTCCCGTGCAGGCAAGATTCAGGTTATGTTCGTGTCTTGTCAAAATTAGTTTTTCCATCATAAACTCTTTTTATATCCACTCAAACACATTCTACCCCAATTCTCTATTAACAAGCTACCACATGTGATCTGGAAAACTATTTCTCAAAACCAAGGGAGGAAAAAAGGAATAACATCAGGTGTCATCCATATATTACTGTTACCAAATTTCAAAAACCCAGACAACTTACTGTATATACTCAAGTATAAGCCTAATTTTTCAGCCCCTTTTTTAGGCTGAAAAAGCTCCCCTTGGCTTATACTCGAGTCAAGGTTATTTATTATTTTACTCTGTTATTAGTATTATTTTTATTACATTTATTATCTTACTCTATCGCATTTACATTATTTTACTCTAATATTTTATTACATTATGATCTGGTCATCGACCGTAATAAAGTTTACTTACGATTATTTTACTCTATTTATTATTGTTATTATTATTATGTATTACATTTATTATTTTACTCTATTGTTGGAATGATATGTAAGAACATTTACATTGAAGATTAGAATAATGGTTTAATCAGAGTTGGGCAGTCTTATCTTAAGTTACAGTTTTGTGTAAATGTTCAAGAACATTTAACCTGCTGATGCCTCAATTAATATAATTTTATAGGTATCTATTTTGTTTTACCAGTAGCTACTGTATTTCCCACCCTCGGCTTATATTCAAGTCAATACGTTTTCCCGGGTTTTTTGCGGTAAAATTAGGTGCGACCGGCTTATATTCGGGTCGGCTTATACGTGAGTATATACGGTATTTCAGAAGTTTCATGGACATGTTGAATAGCATGGAGAACTGAACTGAGCCCTAATTGAGTCAACAGGTCAAACTGGGTAATATGAATTACTGTTATTAAAGAATTCAAAAGGTGATACTTGTTTCCACATCAGATTGTAATTGTTGCAACACTGTTTTCTAGAAATCCCACACAACAACAAATGTACACAGCTCCAAAACAAAAAACAAAACAAAACAAAACACTGCAACTGTTACTGAGTTTCATATCTGTTACTTTCCCCCAATTCACACCCACCAGAATGTTTGAATACAACATTGCAAACGTATCCATTTATTGTTCACCGATATAGCTTCAGGCTACTTTCTTTAAATACGCTGGCAAACATCTTAAATTATAGTGGGCCCTCCAGATCCATGATTTCTACTGATCATAAGTAAAGGTAAAAGTTTCCCCTTGATATTTAGTCTAGTCCTGTCTGACTCTGGGGGGTGGTGCTCATCTCCATTTCTAAGCCCAAGAGCCGGTGTTGTCCGTAAACGCCTCCAAGGTCATGTGGCCAGCATGACCGCATGGAGCGCTGTTACCTTCCCACAGAAGCAGTACCTATTGATCTCATCACACTTGCAAGTTTTTGAATTGCTAAGTTGGCAGAAGCTGGGGCTAACAGCAGGAGCTCACCGCACTCCCTAGATTTGAACTGCTGACCCCAGGGCTCCACAGGTAATCACACAGATATATATATATAAAATGCCAGCAACATGGATATGCTGAAGCTTACACACAACACACACACATATCACCACCATTAAATAATATGGGATCCATTTTGGGGGTATCCTGGGACCAAACCCCTACAGATCTGGAGGTTCTACTGTACTCACTTTAATGGCATTTAAACCACATGAACTATAAAATTATACCATGGCAATTCACCCAACTGTAATAACATATTGACAAAACACCCTTTGCTATCGCAATATAGACAGTCCCTAAGTTACAAACAAGATAGGTTCTATGTATTGTCAAAGGCTTTCGTGGCTTTGACACTGGGTTGTTGTAGGTTTTTTCGGGCTATATGGCCATGTTCTAGAGCAGGAGTCCTCAAACTAAGGTCTGAGGGCCGGATACGGCCCTCCAAGGTCATTTACCCGGCCCTCACTCAGGGTCAACCTAAAGCACACAACAACAACAATCCTATCTCATCAGCCAAAAGTAGGCCCACACTTCCCACTGAAATACTAATAAGTGCTTCTCAAGCACGGTTGGCGGGCATGAGAGATAGGACCTTCTCGGTAGTGGCGCCTCGGCTGTGGAATGCCCTTCCCACGGACATTAGGCTAGCACCATCTCTAATGGTATTCCGCAAAAAAGTGAAGACCTGGCTGTTCAAGCAGGCGTTTGAATAATTAGTGCAATGATTGGTAATGAACATAGGAATTGGAACAATGGATGACGAATCTGGATTATGTTTTTGATAATGAGACTGTGATCGGTTATCGTAGTAAGTGTTTATTGATTGGGTAATGTGTTAAGTTGTGAATTGTTGTTATATTTGCATTGAATTATTGATGTTTTTATTGGTTGTGAACCGCTGTGAGTCGCCTTCGGGCTGAGAACAGCGGTATATAAGTAAAGTAAAGTAAACTTGGGCCAGAGCGAAGAGAAGGGAGGCCAGGGGACAGCATCATCTTCTCTCCTGCATATGCCATCAGCTGGAGACCCTTCCCCCCAGCACCAACTGATGCTCTGGGCCAGAGCGAAGAGAGGGGAGTCCAGGGGACAGTTCCACCTTGTCTCCTGTGCTATTATAATAATATAATATATATTGTATAAACATATAATATTTATAATATTATAATGTAATGCAATATAATACTATTAATAATAATAATATGATGTTATAATTATATATTTATATTACATGTAATATTACTAATATTACAATATAATTGGTATAGTATAATATAGCAATATTTAAAACTGATATTGTACTATGCTAATAATATAATATATTGTATGTATATATACCTTGTAATCCGCTGAGTCCCCTTCGGGGTGAGAAGGGCGGCATATAAATGTCGTAAATAAATAAATAAATAAGTTTATATATGTGTATATATGTGCGTTATGGCGACAATTTTTATGCATATTTTGTTTTGTTAATCTTATGGTTATGTTGTTTTTACTTTGTATGTTCTGTGATTTTTACCTGGGAACCGCTCTGAGTCCCCTCGGGGAGATGGAGCAGTATATAAATAAAGTATTATTATTATTATATTTATTAAATTGTTCTTCATTTTAATTATTGTATTGCTTTTTGACCATGGAACAACAGAGTGGTTCAAGATTGGGAAAGGCGTACGGCAAGGCTGCATCCTCTCACCCAACCTTTTTAACTTGTATGCAGAACACATCATGCGATGTGCGGGGCTGGATGAATGCAAAGCTGGGGTGAAAATTGCTGGAAGAAACATTAACAACCTCAGATATGCAGATGACACCACTCTGATGGCCGCAAGCGAGGAGGAGCTGAGGAGCCTTCTAATCAAGGTGAAAGAAGAAAGCGCAAAGGGTTGCAGCTAAACGTCAAAAAAACCAAGATTATGGCAACAAGAATGATTGACAACTGGGAAATAGAGGGAGAAAACGTGGAGGCCGTGACAGACTTTGTATGTCTAGGTGCAAAGATTACTGCAGATGCAGACTGTAGCCAGGAAATCAGAAGACGCTTACTTCTTGGGAGGAGAGCAATGTCCAATCTCGATAAAATAGTAAAGAGTAGAGACATCAGACTGGAACAAAGATCCGCCTAGTCAAAGCCATGGTATTCCCTGTAGTAACTACGGATGTGAGAGCTGGACCTTAGGGAAGGCTGAGCGAAGGAAGATCGATGCTTTTGAGCTGTGGTGTTGGAGGAAAGTTCTGAGAGTGCCTTGGATTGCGAGAAGATCCAACCAGTCCATCCTCCAGGAAATAAAGCCCGACTGCTCACTGGAGGGAAAGATACTAGAGACAAAGTTGAAGTACTTTGGCCACATCATGAGGAGACAGGAAAGCCTAGAGAAGACAATTATGCTGGGGAAAGTGGAAGGCAAAAGGAGGAGGGGCCGACCAAGGGCAAGATGGATGGATGGCATCCTTGAAGTGACGGGACTGACCTTGAGGGAGCTGGGGGTGGTAACGGCCGACAGGGAGCTCTGGCGTGGGCTGGTCCATGAGGTCACGAAGAGTCGGAGACGACTGAACGAATGAACAACAACAACATTGCTTTTAAGTGTTCTTTGCACTACAATTAAGATATGTGCAGTGTGCATAGGAATTCATTCTGAGTCCTACGGGAGATTTTGCGGGGTATAAATAAAGTTAATAATAATAATAATAATAATAATATTGTGGGCCAACTGGCCTCAGGCCCCTTCCTTTCCCCCTCAGTTGCTTAAGGAAGGGGCCTGAGGCTGTGAGGAATCCAACCCAAGCGGGGTGTCCCCTGCCCGGCCTACCTAGAGGAAGGCAAAGCAGCCACGGTACATACTTGGGCTGAACGTGAGATAGGCGGACTTGCCTTGGCCTCTTGTAAGCCGCACTGAGTCCTCTGGGAGATTTTGCGGGGTATAAATAAAGTTAATAATTGTCGAAGGCTTTCATGGCTGTAATCTCTAGTTTCTTGTGGGTTTTTTTGGGCTATAGGGCCATGTTCTAGAGGCATTCTCTCCTGACGTTTCGCCTGCATCTATGGCAAGCATCCTCAGAGGTAGTGAGGTCTGTCGGAATAATGGGTTTATATATCTCCTTTATATATCGCCCCTGGGCTGAAAACAGCGGTATATAAGCAAAGCAAAATAAATAAATAAATAAATAAATATCTGTGGAATGGCTGGGGTGGGGCAAAGAGCTCTTCTCTGCTGGAGCTAGGTGTGAATGTTTCAACTGACCACCTTCATTAGCATGTGAAGGCCTTGCTGGGAGGTGTTAAGATGTGCCTGGTTGTTTCCTTTCTGCTGTTTTGCTGTTGTAATTTTAGAGTTTTTTAATACTGGTAGCCAGATTTTGTTCATTTTCATGGTCTCTTCCTTTCTGTTGAAATTGTCCACATGCTTGTGGATTTCAATGGAGGGGGGGACGGGAAAAGAGGCGGGAGAGGGGAGTTGTCACCTGGAGTGCCAGAGTGACATAAGATTCCAAGAAGGATCTTCCTTTACAGGGCAAAAATTAGCTTGGGTTTCCAGGTGGCTGAAATGTGGCAGGCGAAGAACTTTTCGAGTTCTTTAAAAGACAAGAAATAAACACTCCCTCTGAGGATGCTTGCCATAGATGCAGGCCATATAGACCCAAAAAAACCTACAACAACCCACTAAAGTTTTTATTATTATTATTATTATTATTATTATTATTATTATTCTTGTGGGCCAACTGGCCTGAGGCCCCTTCCTTTCCCCCTCAGTTGCTTAAGGAAGGGTCCTGAGGCTGTGAGGAGTCCAACCCAAGCGGGGTGTCCCTTGCGCGGCCTACCCAGAGGAAGGCAAAGCAGCCACGGTACATACTTGGGCTGAGCGCGAGATAGGCGGACTTGCCTTGGCTCCCGGCCTGGCCGCCCTCGTCCTGCTGCTGCTGGAGGTGGAGGTGGAGGTGCTGCTGGGCCGCCGCCTGCGCCTGCTGTTGTTGCTGCTCGAGGCCTAGAGCGGCCTGAGGCGGCGGGGGAGGCGAGGGGAAGCGGTACTGGGCGTACTGGGCCTGCTGAGGCGGCTGCTGGCCTTGCTGAGGCGGCGGAGGAGGTGGAGGTTGCTGAGGCGGAGGCTGGGGCTGCTGAGGCGGCGGCGGAGGTGGTGGAGGCGGCGGAGGAGGCGGCGGCGGGAGCGCGGCGAAAGGGAAGGCCGCGGCGGCCGCCATGAGGCTGGGGATGGCCGGCTGGGGCTGGGCCTGCGCGGGCGGCGGCGGAGGGGGAGGGCCCTGCATCACGAGGCCCGGCGGAGGGAGCGGGTAGCCGGCTTTCCCCGGCGGAGGAGGCGGAGGCGGCGGCGGATGGAGCTTCCCCAGAGGCGTCGCGTTCGCTCCGGTCGCCATCGACGGCGCTTAATGGCGTCCCAGGCCCGTTCGCGAAGCTTCCACGCCAAAGGCTCGCCTCACAAAGACCGCGCGCGCCGATTGGACGAGGCAGCCGTCCGTCACTCCGCCGATTGGGCAAGAACCGAGTCTATCAAATCTCTACCGCTTTGATTGGCTACACTGCTGAGATTGGTTCCCTCCTCTATCTAGCCAGGTACTTTTGCGAGCCCAATGGCCGCCAAAGACATCCTTCACTCCGCCGATTGGTCAAAAGTCGCGTCTATCAAATCTCTACCACTCTGATTGGTTCCTCCTCTATCTATCAAGGCGTCTAATGGCCGCCAAAGCAGTCCTTCACTCCGCCGATTGGTCAAAAGCCGCGTCTGTCAAGTCTGCACCGCTGTGATTAGCTGCACGGCTGTGATTGGTCCCTCCTCTATCTATCAAGGCGTCTAATGGCCGCCAAAGCAGCCCTTCACTCCTCCGATTGGGCAACAACCGCGTCTATCAAATTTTCACCGCTTTGATTGGCTGCATTGCTGTGATTGGTTCCTCCTCTATCTATCAAGGCGTCTAATGGCCGCCAAAGCAGTCCTCCTCTCCGCCGATTGGTCAAAAGCCGCGTCTATCAAATCTCTACCGCTCTGATTGGTTCCTCCTCTATCTATCAAGGCGTCTAATGGCCGCCAAAGCAGTCCTTCACTCCGCCGATTGGGCAACAGCCGCGTCTATCAAAGCTCCACCGCTGTGATTGGCTGCACGGCTGTGATTGGTTCCTCCTCTATCTATCAAGGTGTCTAATGGCCGCCAAAGCAGTCCTTCACTCCGCCGATTGAGCAACAGCCGCGTCTGTCAAATCTCTACCGCTTTGATTGGCTGCACCGCTGAGATTGGTTCCTCCTCTATCTATCAAGGCGTCTAATGGCCGTCAAAACAGTCCTTCACTGCGCCGATTGGGCAACAGCCGCGTCTATCAAATGTATTGCTTCCTGAGGGACTTTTCTGCCATGAGTCCCATAGAGATAAGTGACGTCAGTGGAAGCTCGGGATACCATTGGACGGCAAAATAAAGTAGCGCCGCAGAGGGAAATAAGGAGGCATTTGATTGGGCCACGTTTTCTTCCATCCACGAGGCTGGTGGGAGTTAGGTCCTAGGGCTGGAGTTGCAAATGAATCAGGAGGTCGCGAGTTCGAATCCCGCTTGGGCCATAAAGGGAAAAAAATAGTATTGCAGGCATCCTCATTGCTACATTATTATACTATATTATGTTATTACATTATGGTTATAATTACTATAGTATGATATTATTATACTTTATATATGTGACATTATTATTTTCAAATTATACTATATTATAATAATTATATATAGAATTATAATAAATTATATAATATTAACAATTATATTATTATACAATATTATATTATATCACTATATAATAATATATATTATATTATTATATTAACATTATTATACTACATTATATTATTACATTATGGTTATAATTACTATAATTACTATTATGATGTCAGGCACACACACACACACACCCCCCAAAAAAATAAGGGATAGTGACTTATAGTTCTGCAAAGGACAAGGGCACCAGACTACACAACAAGGGTTAAGTCTTGGTCACATTGCCAAGGCACTGACAACAATAAGGACCCCACGAGGCTTTCGGGAAATGGCTGGATCTTGGGACTTCTGCCCTTTGTGAGAATTGTAGTTCCCCAAGGGCTGAGCGATGGATTCTGTTATTGATCAACTCAGCGCCCATCTGCTGACTTCTGCAGGGAGAAATGACTCTTTGCTGCCTGACTTGGACTGCAAACCACCTCTGCCTCCACGAACCTTCCCCAGGAGCACGGGATTTCCAGTTCTTTTAATAAATCAATATTGTAATAAAATAATAAAGATGTGGGGTGGGAAGGGGATTCTTTTTGTATGATCTTTGTCTAAAATAATACTGTATGAAATGTAGTCTGTTTCCCGCCTTTCCCTTTGACTTTTGTCCCACAAAAGTGACCAGGAACTGCTGCAAGGCCCAAGGAAAATTCCTGTCTCCCTCGAAACTCAAATTGTTGATCGATCATTAATTCCTATCTCGCCTTCTGAGCCTGTCTGGTGAGATAAGGAAGTTCATGAGATTTTGGAAAAGAAAATAATTAACAATTACAAAGGGCAGCATTGATCCCTTGAGGTCCGCAGCCCGATCTTGTTGTCTCTTCCCCCAAAACCCATCATGAACAGGAAGACCCTTGTTTGCCACTATCACACCTTGCCAGCCAAAGACAATGCCCCACATTCCAGCAGGCCAGGTATCTGTGATGCCATCATTTCCCCCATTGTTTTGCAATCGTCCCGCCTCCCCACTCCTGATTCTTCCTTCCCTGGGAGCGAGAGGAATGTGCTGATTGGCTCTCTAGAGGCGGAGAAGCGCGCTGATTGGCTCAGGAGCGGGCCGGGCCGTCAAGCCTTCTCCCAGCTGTTCAGCCATCAGCCAATCAGAGCAGAGCCGGCCGGCAAGGGGCAGGCGGGAATTTTGAAATGCTTTCCTTTGAATTTCGCCTATAAAAAATGCTTGTAAAATACCTAGCGTTATCCTTGTGGTGGAATGATCCCTGCAATGCATCCGATCTCAGCTGAATCGCTAATAAAGACACCTCGATTGCTGAACTTCTTCCGCTTTGGTGAGGATTATTATTTTTAATATTTTTTATCGCTGAAATTGGCTTTCTCTGGCCTCACCAAGGTTTATTAAGGACTCTCTTTGGTGCAGTCCTCAGGGATCTCTCTCTCTCAGGGAGATCATCCTAAAAGCAGCTCGATATCAATTACATTATTATATCATATTGTTGTATTATGGTTATGAGGTTGTGAGGTTTGTTGGAAACGAGGAAGATGGGGTTTATATCTCTGTGGAATGATGTCCAGGGTGGGTGAAAGAACTTGTCTGTTGGACGTAGGTGTAAATGTTTCAATTGGCCACCTTGATTAGCATTTAATGGCCTAGCAGTTTTCAAGGCATGACTTCTTACTGCCTGGGGGAATTGTTTGTTGGTAGGTGATTAGCTGTCCCTGATTGTTTCTTGTCTAGAGTTCCCCTGCTTTTGAATGTTGTTCTTTTTTATTTACTGTGTTTTTTAATACTGGTAGTGAAATGGCAGGGAGAATGTTTGAGGAAAAGAGACAAAAGAAAGTTCCTGAGGTCTGTAAAAGCACGGTTTATTCTCGTGCTGGTATTCCAGGAAACAGAGTGCTGAACAAAAGGATTGCCTTGGTTTATATACCCTTTTAAATAATATGCATGAATCATACAAGCATCACAATGTGTGTCACAAAATTCCACTTTTAATAATAATAATGAAGTCGATCGGACTTGAGGAGCGTCTACCCTAGGAGGAGAGACCCTGAGACCCCACCAACGAGGGATTGCTACTTTGGCGAGCAAAGAGAAGCCAGATTTTCAGCAATTTCATTTCCCTAAAAATCCAGAAGAAATCTCACCAAAGCCAAAGAAGCGCCACCGAGGTGTTTTTATTAGCGATTCAGCTGAAAAGGATGCAATGCAGCAATCATTCACCAAGCAGAGCATGTGGTTACAGAAATTAGAGGCATTTTTATAGGAAATACAGGCTTGGAAGTTTCAAAATTCCCGCTCCACGCCCTCCTCCTGGCTTGACGGTGATTGGCTGACGCAATAACAGCTGGGAAGAGGCACGGCCACCCTCCCCACGCCAGAACCAATCACAGAGCTCCTCCGCTGCGTATGAGCCAATCAGAAAGCTTCTACCGCCTCAGCGCTCTAGCAAATCAGGAGGAAGGGAGGCGGGACAAGAAGAAACAATGCTTCCTTGAGTGGATTATGGAATTCCAATGTCCTGGGGCTTCTTGAGTCCAGAATCAGCCTTCTAAGGAAACTAACTTTATTGTCCTGAGATGGGTCAGTGATAAGTAATGATGACTTAATCAAGGTTTTCCTCTTACAATCAGATAGGGCACAAAGGGGATACTTTTGTGAATGTCCTTAGTGGAAAGATTTGAAAGAAAAACGGCTTGGAGGAAAAGAGGGCTTTCCTAAGGTCATATTCCCCCCACTGTTATATGATTAAAAAGTCTGCCGGACAGGAACCCTTAAGATGGCCCAACAAATCAAAAGGATTTCCTTTACTATTGTCCATGCAAAGATTGTCCAAAGATATTATTATTATTATTATTATTATTATTATTATTATTATTATTATTATTTACTTTGCTTTAATACCGCTGTATCTCAAGCCCGAAGGCCACTCACAGCGGTTCACAAACAGTAAAAACAGTAGAAACAGCAGTGGTTCCATACAACATATAACAATTGACTTAACACATTATCCATAAATTACCAATCAGCAATTACAATGCACAATTATTACAAAAAACAACCGTACCCAATCTTCTCATCATCCAAGCGTAGTCCAGGTTCGTCGTCCATTGTTCCATTCCTATGTTCCATTACCAGATTGCACTAAATTACTCAAACGCCTGCACAAACATCCAGGTCTTCACCTTTTTGCGGAATACCATTAGAGATGGTGCTAGTCTAATGTCTGTAGGAAGGGCGTTCCACAGCCGAGGAGCCACCACCGAGAAGGCCCTATCTCTCGTCCCCGCCAACCGTGCTTGAGAAGCCGGCGGGATCGAGAGCAGGGCCTCCCTGGAAGATCTCAAAGTCCTGGTGGGTTCATAGGCCGAAATGTGGTCGGAAAGGTAGCTTGGGCCGGAACCGTTTAGGGCAGTGGTTCTCAACCTTTCTAACACTGTGACCCCTAAATATGGTTCCTTGGGTTGTGGTGACTGCCAACCATAAAATTATTTTTGAGATTGCGAGGCAGGCAAGGGAGGCTTTGCACGAGGCCTGGCCTTGTGCAAAGCCTTGAGGGATGGGGCCAAAACCTTGGGGGGCGGGGCCAAAGGAGGTAGCCTCATGACCCCTCCGAAATGGCCAAACGACCCCCTTGGGGGTCGCGACCCCCAGGTTGAGAACCACTGGTTTAGGGCTTTATAGGACAACGCCAACACCTTGAATTGAGCCCGGTAGCAAATCG